ATAATTAAAATTTAAAAAGTCATTCAAAATATAAAAATAATTTTTTAATTAAAACCAAAATCAAACTAAATGGTTATTTTTAGAAGGGCAACCAAAATCAATAAAACTCATTTTATTTAATTTGGTTATTGATTGCTATAAAATTTAATAATTACAAATTTAATTAACCACGCATTTGGACCTTCGGTCTAATGACGTCAGGTCACGTATAAATATATTTCTTCTCTCTAGGGCAACGATTCGAATCCGACTCTTTACAAATTTGTTCAAAAAAAAAATTTAATTAACCACAAATTTGATTACTTTGTAACCGAACCCGCCGTGCCCACCCCTAACTACCTTCCCGTTGCTATGTTTGAAAAGCTAATTTTATTAGTTATGAACCATTTGGCATCAACTATTAACAACATAATTGAATTGCTTATTTAAACAAGTAGAAACACTACTTTGCCTAATACTTTTAGACGTTTATGGACTTGCCAGTTGCCATTGAATACGCAGTTTATTGACCCTATAAATAATTATTCATAATTTGATACGTGCTGGCATTGTCTCTTAAAATAAATACTAAGCATGAACTCAACACCAATTCCTAAGTTATATGGTACATGGCTTTTATTGTTTCAATTCATGTTTAGATTCTATCATTCTATGCATTTTTTTCTATACAAATTGGGAATTTTGGCTTGAGATAAAGAGAGAGAGAGGACCTTATCTATAAAATTTCGAGTGCAGTCCAAGCTTCTCTGGGTGTCAGCAAAGAGACCAAAACCCATTTTCCTCCACCCATAGCGCACCCTATCTGCTTGGGAAAAGCCAAAAAAAGGTTTCCCACTATTAATAAACTTCCTCCAAAAGCACCCACTCTCTTTTATATTTTTCCCTCTCCATTTCTCTCCCCAAAACAGCCAATCCCGGCCATACCCACATTCTTGTTTCTGCTCAGGACCATTCTCCGGCAGTTCCCAGGTCAGTTCTCTGTTCATCTCTGTGTCAAGTCTCTGTTTATCTCTGTGTCAAGTCCCTGTTTCCTCGGCTATTACTAGACAAAAAGAAAGGAACTTTGGAGTTGTGAATTGTGTTTTGCCTTGTGTTTTGTGCTTTACAATAACCAAACAGGACAAAGTTTCAAGATTGCCTTCACTGAAAATTGTGATTGCTTCTGGAGATTCTGGTGAAGTTCTTGTTTGATATCCATTATCTAGGGACTGTTGCTCTGTTCTAATTTATGTGAACTTCAGATCTTTTTTTTGGGTAAATGTGAACCCCATATCTTTGCTGCAGCATGCAGCAACATTCTAATGGAGAAAGGCTTACCATTTTTTTTTTCTTCCATTTTCAACCAACAGAAGTACTAATGTTTTTGAGTTTCTTAAGGGTATTTCAGTCATTTCATAAGAGGAAAACTTTATTCTTTCTGTTGGAGGTCCACATGAGGGCCAATAGGCTGCTGTTACTGTAAAGTAATTGAAATGGGAAACGTCCAATGGTGACCCAGTTATTAAGCATCTTTTTGAAAAAAATAAAAAAGTGAAGTGCAGCGGACCATAGACAGTTTTTTTTTTTCCTCAAAATTCACAAAATTTTATTTTATAGTTTGAAATACATAAAAATTATTAAATGAAAGAATCCTAATATCAAAAGGATTTAATTTTTATTTAACAGTTAATATAATACAATTTAATATAATTTAAATTATATTATACTTTTAGGTAAAATTTATTACTACTATAGAAATGGGTTTGACATTTCAACCTGTAACTTTCATTTCTACTCCACAATGAGTCAAGAATGATATTTTCAGTTTGGTCTTACAATCTTTTGGACTGATTTTCTGCATCCTCGATTTATTACTGGAAATTTATTTTGTTTTTTTCTTTTCTTCATTAGGAAGATAAGAAAAGATGGTCATAAATTTCATTTTCAATGTCTTGGGATTTAATTTGGTTGTAAATTGATTTTTCTTTCCAGCAAGGAGAAGGTGAAAATGGCACAGATTTTAGCACCGTCCACACAATGGCAGATGGGAATACCAAAGAACTCCACATGTGCAAGTCCAATTACAACCAAGATGTGGAGTTCTCTAGTCTTGAAGCAGAACAAGGCTGCTAAAACCTCCACCAAATATAGAGTGCTTTCTGTGAAGTCTGAAGGTGGAGCTATTAATAGGTTGGAGAAACTACTGAACTTGGACGTCACTCCTTACACCGACAAGATCATTGCCGAATACATTTGGTATCTCATCTTTGCTGACATGATTTTTGATGATACAAATAACACTTTTAAGCAGTTTCTCTGTGTGTCAAATGAGAACTTAGCATGTTACTTATTGTTCCTTAGTATAAGCAGCAAAGTTGTTTATATCTGCATTATCAAATAGATGTTTGTATGTTAGTTTAAGGTGACTCTGTGCATGTAAGCGTACCTTAAACATCACTGTTTTTGTTTCTGAAACAGGATTGGAGGTAGTGGGATTGATGTGCGTAGCAAGTCAAAAGTAAGATGAAAATTACTGGAAACAAATTTTATTTTCAATTTAAGGATTTAACATATATGTTCTTATCATGTTTCCTTGTTTAACTGCCATCATTTGACATTTTCAGACAATTCCAAAGCCTGTTAAGCATCCTTCTGAGCTTCCCAGGTGGAACTATGATGGGTCTAGTACTGGACAAGCACCTGGTGAAGATAGTGAAGTTATTTTATAGTAAGATCTTCTGAATAAAATGATTTTTTTTGCATATATGTATTTATTGTCAAAGTATCATCTTTATTGAGAATTTTTCCAGTCCACAAGCAATTTTTAAGGATCCTTTCCGTGGAGGAAACAATATCTTGGTAAGTGTTAGCTAGGAAAATTAATCAGTTTCCATGATTATCTGTCCTGAGACTCATGAGAAAAAATTATGCTTAATGTCATGTTATGTATTCTAAACAGGTACTCTGTGATACATATACACCAGCTGGTGAGCCCATTCCCACAAACAAGCGCCACAGAGCTGCTGAGATTTTTAGCAACCCGAAGGTGGTAGCTGAAGTACCATGGTATGGATCTTGGTCTTAAGTTTTGATGTTATAATAACTAAATTTATTACACAGTGGTTTTTGGCACCTCTTCAGCATGTTATGATGCATAATTATCATTTCACTTAACTTCTAATTCGAGTTCATTACCAACTTTATATACTTCATATAATTTCCCTTTCTTTTAATAGGAGATACTTGGATGCATAAAAATTGAAAGCTTCTTATGCATTTTGATATTCAACTTAGGTTTGGGATTGAGCAAGAATACACCTTACTTCAAACAAATGTTAAATGGCCTTTGGGTTGGCCTGTTGGAGCGTATCCTGGGCCCCAGGTAATTATATAGCTTAATCTATTTTTGGATTACAGCAGGAAGAATCTATACTCCCAGGAATTTAAAGTTCAATAATAATTTTATGAAACACCTGGGCCTCTAGGTCCACTGGCATTAGCCAGGTTGATGGTGCACTGCCCCCCTCCCCTGGGCGGGTTCAAAACCCGCCCCTTGCTAAAATGATAAAAAATAATAATAATAATAATAATATTTTTATGAAAATAACTTCCAAATATGCCTAATTCAGGGTCCTTATTACTGTGGAGCTGGAGCTGATAAGTCATTTGGCCGTGACATCTCAGATGCTCATTACAAGGCCTGTTTGTATGCTGGCATCAACATCAGTGGCACAAATGGGGAGGTTATGCCGGGCCAGGTTTACCTCCCATCTAAGCTTTTTCGTCATGATTGTGGAATGGGTTATGTAACTGTGTTTTCATCATTAGTTACTCATTACCACTTACTTCCATTCTTATCATGCAGTGGGAGTATCAAGTGGGTCCTAGCGTAGGAATTGAAGCTGGAGATCATATTTGGTGCTCAAGATACATTCTTGAGGTATTTGACCCCCTACAAATCGCACTTAGTAAATTTTTCATTGACAGTTTTGCATTAGTTTCTTTTGAAAACTACACTGATGAATACAAAGTTTTCCATAAAAATGTTTTTGTATTATATATAATTGTGAGTTTCATATATTGAATTATTTATGTTGTTGTCTCTTCTCAGAGGATCACTGAACAAGCTGGTGTTGTTCTCACGCTTGATCCTAAACCCATTGAGGTAACTAGTAATTTCCCAAGTGTTGGTTTTTTCACTGCTTGATAAGGTCAGTTATTTAATTCTCCTTTCTTTATGTTGCAGGGTGACTGGAATGGTGCTGGGTGCCACACCAATTACAGGTATGCCTGGCTTGATTACTTTTCTGTAGGCAACTTTTACATGCTAGAAACGCTTGCTTTAAACCAAAGTTTTAAACAAATACTTCACAAAAAAAAAAATGCCCTAACTTTGGTTTACAGTACAAGGAGCATGAGAGAAGATGGTGGATTTGAAGTTATAAAGAAAGCAATCTTGAATCTTTCACTCCGTCATAAGGAGCATATTAGTGCCTATGGTGAAGGAAATGAGAGAAGGCTGACTGGAAAGCATGAAACAGCCAACATTAACACATTTTCTTGGGTATGCTCAAGAGATATCCATATCCAATTATTGAAAAGAAGAGAAAAAGAAGAGTGTAAAAGATTTATATTTTGCTTATTAAATTTCTTTCACTTCACACTTGCAGGGAGTGGCTAATCGTGGTGCCTCCATTCGAGTTGGGCGTGACACTGAGAAGAAAGGAAAAGGTATTACCCACAATAATATCCCAAAATAAGTTTTAATGAAGGTTTTCCTAGGATAATATTGTGGAGGGAAGATGACTTAACTCTTACCTCAAATCCTCAAAGGAACTTTTAGTCCATAAAAACCAATGACTGGCATTGACATGTTTATTTCTGTTACAAACTTTTAACTTTAGTACAATGTGGCTTCATTTTTATGATAATTTCGTTATGGTTTTGTTAGGCTACTTGGAGGATAGGCGTCCAGCTTCAAACATGGACCCGTATGTTGTGACATCATTGCTGGCAGAAACTACTATACTGTACGAGCCAACACTTGAGGCGGAAGCACTTGCTGCTCAGAAGCTGGCTTTGAAGGTCTAAAGCAGCAGAATATAAACTGAATGGAGATCATGAGGCTGGCACTTGGATCTTCATGCAGGGGAGAGCTTTTGCCCTTTCTTTAAGGTCTTTTGGGAAAAAGTCTCATGTAAATAAAGGTCCTGAAATGAGTAATTACTAATGTGGTGGTCTGTAAAATATATCAGGTAGAATATTTCCCCTGCATCAGGATGGTTTTTCAATTCAGTTTAACATTATCCTAGAGATCTCGTTTTGTCATCTGTTTTCGCAATTTGTGGGCAATCTTATTTTGAACTTTCCCCTTACATAATTCTGCATGTTTAGCTGACTATAAGGACTTGGAAAAACAATGCCTGCACAGACAACTTTATTCTTCAGATTTCTGGAAAAGGTTAATTCCAGCAAAAGATATTCCCTTCCGATTCAATGGAGAAAACAAGCCCCAATTCCGGGGACTTATTTTCAATAATCTGGATTCCTTCCTCTCCCTGAAGGCAAACCCCTGAAAGGGTTAGGAATACAAACCATTTCTTTGAATTGAAGACTCTATTTCATAATCAAAAGCAAGTGAAAACCACTATTTGGTTAGGAAGAAAGGAGCATCTATCTTCTATATAGTACTCCCTGGGAACTGCTGGATGCCGCGATCCAGTTTGAGCTTTATCTTCCAGTTCTTGACCCTGTCAAAAAGCCATGACTAAATCGGCAGCTTTGATGCTGTTGTTCCTCAATCTGTTCCTCTACTTGATCATAATAGTAATTGCTTCATGGGCAGTGAACCATGCCATTGAAAGGACCCATGAAACAGGTAATTCTTCAATCAGAACATGCCATAAATTGTCATCAAGTTTTCAAGCCATTCTATTTAGAGTCATTTTTGACATCTTTGTGCAAATCCAGCTTCTGTTTTGGCAATTCCGGCTCGAATCTTTCCCATGTGGTTTCCAATGGGAAACTTGGCAACGGGTTTCTTCGTCATCTTCTCCCTCATTGCCGGGGTTGTGGGCATTGCCACCTCTGTTACAGGAATTGGAAATGTTCTTCAATGGGACCGAGCCAACTTAAGTGCGGCAGCTGGGTCTTCCCTGCTGTCATGGGCACTTACTCTGCTAGCCATGGGGTCCACATTCTTCTCTTTCACTTCAAAATTTCCCCTCTATTTTTTTTCTTTCCCCTTTCTTTCCTTAAATGATGCTCCAATTCATGGTGATTTTATGCAGATTTGCCTGTAAAGAGATGGATATTGGCTGGACAGATGCGAATTTGGTAAGTTTTTTTAGAGTTTTTATTTTATTTTATTTTTTATTTTTAATTGCATATATAATAAACACCCTTCTCAAATTATTTTATTAACTTGATGATGTAAAAACAATTTTTTTCATAATTTTTTTATACAATTATTATATATTATTAAATAAATAAATAAAATTAAAATTATGGATCTCAAATAAATAAAAATAATTTATCATTTAAATAATTAAAAAGAGCATATCATTTAAATAATATATATAATTATATAAAAAAATTATCTTTTAATCATTTCCCTTTACCAATATAATTAACATTATGGATATCAAATAAATAAAAATAGTCCATCATTTAAATAATTAAAAAAGACATATCATTTAAATAATATATAAAATTATTTCTTAATCATTTTCCTTTACCAACCTCACCACCCACTTCCATTCTTATAACCCAAATCAAGGATTTATTACTCTATTAAATAAAAAAATTATTACTAAATTATTTAAATTGTTATTTAAAATTTTTTTTAGTATATAAAAAGTTAAGTATAAATTTAAATATATAATATTATGTTTAACAATATTGTTTTATAATTTACAGCGTACTCTAGAGGCTGTAACAATAATAGCAAGCGCTACACAATTGTTCTGCACTGGCGCTATCCATGCCGGCGCCGCCCAAGATGTTGAGCCCTTTAGAACTGGAAGAGTTTGAAACTTCAATTTGATTCATGCTCAATGACAATAATAAAAAAAAAGGTTCCTATAAAAATTTTATATTCTACAATATCAAAATTCTTCTATTCTTTTTCCATATGAAATTCTTGGGAAATACACATATATGAACCATATTGTGTTGGGAGTGGAATGAATGTTTTCTGTGCAGGCTTCCTATTCTGTATATCCAATATATGTATAGAGTGGTGTTTTAATTTTTATTTTCCTCAACGGTGGAATAATAAAAGTAAAAGCACTTAATTTTGAGTCATTTGACATACATTTATTGGATTAATGAACAAAAGAGGGTTGGTCGAAAAAAAAAGGATAAACCAAGCCGTTAAGTGTTAACGGACAACTCAAAGGAATGTGTTACACATGACACAAGACATTATTGTTGAGGAGGATTTTAATCCTTTGAAAAAAAGTTTGAGGGTAAAAAGTTATAAAAGAATTAAGTTTAAGGGGTTATGATGAAATTTTAACTGCTATTTTTTACTTTTTTAATTGAATTTTTAATTATAAATATAATTTATAATT